GAGCAAACTTCAGAGGACGGCGGAAGACAGGAGGGCCTGGCGTGATCTGGTTCATGGGGTCGCGAAGAGTCGGACTCGACTGTGCGACTGAACAGCAACAACAAATGAGCATTCGAGGGCCAAAGTGATGAAGCGAGCTTTGACTCTCGAAACATTAAACCACCCCCACCCCCCAAAAAAAATCTTACTGGTCTCTAAGGTGCTATTGGACTCGAATTTAGCCAAGACTTCCAAGTCCTGTTGTTTTAAGAAGCGAGGCCCTGGAAGTCAAGACTGAAAACTGCTTCATACTTCGTGTGGCATGATGAGCACTCCCAGTGTTTGCTGCACTAAGCACCTCATGTGTGTGAAGGCAAGATGCTGCAGGCACACGGCAAGGAGCTGCAGTCGATTGTGGCCAGTCTGGTGTGGTGGTTAAGTGCGCAGACTCTAATCTGGAAGGACCGGGTTTGATTCCCCACTCCTCCACTTGCACCTGGCTGGATGACCTTGTCCTTGGCCAAGCCGTATGTCTGTCAGAGCTGTTCACAGACTGACTCTCTACTCGGCTGCTTACCAGACATGTTGGGACATAGCAAAGTCTCTCTCTTTTTTGGGGGTGGGGATCAGAAGGTGGCTCAGAACTGATAAAAAACTGCTTCATACTTCGTGTGGCATGATGAGCACTCCCAGTGTTTGCTGCACTAAGCACCTCATGTGTGTGAAGGCAAGATGCTGCAGGCACACGGCAAGGAGCTGCAGTCGATTGTGGCCAGTCTGGTGTGGTGGTTAAGTGCGCAGACTCTAATCTGGAAGGACCGGGTTTGATTCCCCACTCCTCCACTTGCACCTGGCTGGATGACCTTGGGCAAGCCGTAGTTCTGTCAGAGCTGTTCACAGACTGACTCTCTACTCGGCTGCTTACCAGACATGTTGGGACATAGCAAAGTCTCTCTCTTTTTTGGGGGTGGGGATCAGAAGGTGGCTCAGAACTGATAAGAGGAGATCAGGCAGGAGTGGGCTTCTGATTTTTCACCCCTCCCCCGCATCACTGTGCCTGGGCAAGGGTTTGACACGACAAAGTTAGACATCAGCCTCTGATCTTTAACTTTTCTGTGTCTCAGTCCTTCCCCAAACTCAGTGATTCTTCTTGAGGGTGGATCAGAAGCAGACCCCTAGTTGATCTGCTGGAAATCATTTTCTGACTCCCCCGAAACACCCCCCCCCCAAAAAAAAACCCCTTTGCTGTGTTCCAGCGATAGGCTGGTAGGCAGCAGAGTTTCCAGGGCTGGGAGACCAGAAGCCAACTCTCAGCTGACCTTTGCACTCAGCCAGTGACCTTGCACTCTGATTCTCCACCCCCCCAACGGCCAACACTAATATCCAGCAGTTTCCTCAGGAGGAAGTCAGCTGCTGACTCCCAGCTGATGGAGGAATCAGCTGGGAGTGAACCTTCTGATCCCCTGCTGCAGTGAGCCTGTCGGTTCTGAACTGCCTGTCGAATAATCAGCTCTGACCAGAAGTGGTGAACAGGTCATGGGCAGTGTTCCCTCTAAGCTGAGTTAGTGTGAGCTAGCTCAGTTTTTTAGCCTCCAGCTCACAGATTTTTGTCTTGGCTCAGGAAGGAGGGCTCCAGAGCAAACTAATTTATGCAGTAGCTGAATCGCTCGCTCATAACTTTAATGCCAGCAGCTCACAAAGGAGAATTTTTGCCCACAGGATTCCACAGCTTAGAGGGAACATTGCTGGCAAGTGCTTGGGCATCCCTATATGCAGGGGTCATTTCATAGAAAAAGAGGTGCAGGAGCTCATTAGCATAGCTCATTAGCATAACCCCATTTGCATATGCCGCACCCCCTGACATCACCAGAAGTGTGTCAGAAGGCGACACCCACCGCTCAGGCTCCACTGGACTGTTTTGGATTGCTAGCTATTGGGGGGGGGGGGGAAACTGAAGTCTGGTCCTCACGAGGGGGGCCTCGCAGAGGGGGAGCTTGTACCTGAATAAAACTTGGTTTTAAAGGTGCCACTGGACTGTTTTGGACCGGGGGGCCGGGGGGGGGGAGCTCTGCAACTTACCTGAGGGCTGATGGGAGCAGGGGGCGGGGCTTGTTGCATGTGCCCGCCCCCTGGGCTCTTTACTGCTGGCGCTCCGCTCCCGTGCGTTCCCGCAGGAAATGACCCCTGCCTATATGTAAGCTTAATACATTAAATTTGACTTCCTTTGGTGCAGAACCTAAGACGTCGCAACACACAAGCACCCAGACGTCTGCCTCTCATTGCTGTTCTGATCTAGCCAAAGCAGAGAGAGGCCACTTCATGCCCCCTCAAGTCTTTCTGAGGCAGATTTCTGTAACAGGCATTTGAAAACACCCCCACCCCCCTTCTCCTCAGATCCCCTCTGCATCGTCAGCAGCACTGCATCTTGCCAGCAGGCTACGGCCAGTAAGAAAGGGATGTTCACGGACGACTTACACAAGCTGGTGGACGACTGGACAAAAGAAAAGGTGGGGAACTCCCTGATGAAGCCAAGCCTCAACCAGATCAAACAGAACAAGCACCGGCTGGACGGCGACAGCTGGAGCAAAGTGTATGAGGTGAGGGGGGGGGTTGCATGGAGGTGCGGACCCCCCGGCGGAGGAGACAAAGCAGTCCATGAGCCGAGAGTTCTCGGTCCTTGGCCTCCTGGAGGAGTAGCGGCTCAGGCAAGCCCCTTCCCCACCCTGTGACTTTCCTCTCCATCTTCTTTGGGCTTAAGTTTTGGGACCCTGGAGCACAGCTCACCCTCAGTGCTTTGAGCAGGGGCTCATTTATCACCTGTGATCCGAGCCCTGCAGGAGGTGTTATCTCCCAAGAACTAGGCTTAACCCTTCTCCAGGTCTGGGTGGGGGACCCCCCGCCTTCCTGCGCTTCTTCCTACCCACCCAAACAATGGCCTCGCATGCAACGCGCCGATGACACTTCCGGAAGTGACGTTAGCGCGTCGGTCATGTAGGGGACGATGCTCTGCTTTTTGGGCAAAACCCTGTGGTACAATTGCCCTCGAACCATAGAGTTTTGCCCAAAAGCAGAGTGTCTCCCCCCCCCTGATGTCACTGACGCACTGACATCACTTCCAGGTGACGGTGACATCCCCCCCCTTCCAGGAATCCCTCCCCCCAATCCCCCTGCTGGCGCAAAGGAACAACCGGGCAACCCTACCAAGAACGGACTGAGTGCCGAAGCTGTTTTCTTAAGCCTTAAAGCTTAAAACTGCGGTGGCTCAAGGGGTTAAGACGCCTGGCAGTGCTTCATCGATCTGGCTGGGGAGCAGCACAGAGCACGCACGCACGCACCGGGACTAGCAGCACCTGTAGGCCTCTGGGCCAGAGAGAGCTTGGGTGGTGGAAAGTGCCACCAAGTCACAGCTGACTTACGGTGACCAGTGTTCCCTTTAAGCTGAGTTAAGTGTGAGCCAGCTCACAGTTTTTTAGCCTCGAGCTCACACATTTTTGTCTTCACTCAGGAAGGATGGCTCCCGAGCAAGCTAATTTATGCAGCAGCCAAATCGCTCGCTCACAACTTTAATGCCAGTAGCTCACAAAGTGGAATTTTTGCTCACAAGTCTCCACAGCTTAGAGGGAGCCTACCGTTACCTTTTTAAAGCCTGGCAATGCTTCATCGATCAGGCTGGAGAGCAGCGCAGAGCACGCACGCACACACCGGGACTAGCAGCACCTGTAGACCTCTGGCCCAGAGAGAGCTTTTGGGTGGTGAAAAGGGCCATCAAGCCACAGCTGACTTACGGTGACCCTGTGCGCTTGTCAAGGCAAGAGACATTCAGAGGTGGTTTGCCATGGCCCGCCTCTGTGTGGCGACCTGGTCTTCCTCCGGGGTCTCCCCTCCGAGTACTAACCGGGGCCGACCCTGCTTAGCTTCCGAAACGTGATGAGATCAAGCTAGCCGTCCTGGTCGGGGCAGAGACGAACAGAGGTGGCTTGCCCTTGCCTGCCTCTGTGGACCGACCCTGGGCTTCCATGGTGGTCTCCCACCCAAGTACTAACCAGGGCCGACCCTGCTTAGCTTCCTAGATCTGACGAGATCAGGCAAGTCTGGGCCAGAGAAAGTTTTAGGCGTCCGGAACTGGGAGCAGGCATTTAGAAAGGTCTTCTGCCCTTAGCAGTTTGAGGGGAAAAGACTGTCTCCCATAATGGACATAAACTGTCTCCCATAATGGACATAAACAAGCCTTTGTTTGGATCTAAAGGTGTCTGCCTGCTTCCCAGAATTCCTGTAGCAGGAAGCGGTTAGAACTGACAGTGTTTTTGAAGATTTCCTCCATTCAGATGGCCTCAAAAGAGTCACGTTTTTAATTTGGGGGAGGGGGAGGAACTGTGATAATGGCCTTACCTCTGAGCGGGGGACTCTTCGCATCCTAACTTCTCAGACTCTTTCATGCTTCCTTGCAAACGAGATGTAGCAAAGGGTGCAGAGTGACTGAGGTGCGCAAAGAGCGACTCTGACGTGTGCATTTCTCTCTCCCGTCTGTGCCTGTCCTTTGTCTTGTTTTTTAAGACGACGTCATCTACCGTGGGCTACACGTCGACGTGGATTTCCTCGCTCTCCCAGATCCATGGGACTGTGCCGGCCGCTTTGCCCCAAGGACTCCCCCTGTCGCCCTTCCCCGGCACGCTGACGTCCTACGGAGTGCCCCACGTATGCCAGTACAACACCATGGCGGGGACAGCTTACCCGGTGCAATGGGTGGGCATTTCTGGCACAGCCCAGCAGTCCGTTGTTGTCCCCGCTCAGCCCTTGGGACCGTTTCAGCCGGGGATAAGCATGCCGGTGTTCCCAGCGTCACCTGTGCAAAACCCAGCTCCCATCCCCCCGGGTCCTAAATGAAGGCGGACGGCTGACGGAGGATAGATATGGGGACTGTGCCTGTAACTCATGATTCCATTCCTCTGCCTTGCATTCTGTGGCCTGGATTTTTGGTGGTGGGGGGGGTGCCTTCCCCAGTGCAGTGACACGGGAGTGGTGGGGGAGATGGCCTTTGCAGTCTCCTCTTTGAAATACTTGATTTCTTTTTCTTGGGGAGGGGTGGGTGGGGATTTTTTTAAGTACTTGAGAGAGCTTTGGCCTGTGCGTCTCATCGTTCTTGAGATGGACGGCATGCCCATCTGCTGCTTACGAACGAGCCTCCCCTCCCCTTCTCTTCTTTTCCTCCTTCCCTCTATTGCTACCGTTCCGGGGGCCGATCATTACCCTCCTTAAAACCGTACACTTTCTGGCGGTCGAGTTAAATTTCTCGAAGGGGGTGGGTGGGGGATCGGCCGTGGAAGAGCGACATCTCGGATTCCACTTCACCTTAGTTTCCCGTCAAGTTTTGTTGACAGCTCAGATTTTGAGGCTAGCGTGGGGTAATTTTAAGGAAAAAATGGGCTCTTTTAGCATGGCTAGCCATTGTGGAACCCTGTCCCTCCCGGGCGCGAGACCCTTCAGAGGGTGGAGTGAGACCGTCGAAGGGTGAGGCGCCCAGGTAAACGCCACCAGCCATTCCGTGTTGCAAAGTCTGTAGCTATTCCTGGGCAGTCAGATCCCGCCGTTTTCGTCCAGTGGCAGCTAGCTGATGACACGCACACTGCATTCAAGAGCTACGTTGGGATTGCCGGCCTGACTTTTGTATCGGGGGGTTGTGTCTTTTTCGTTAAAAGTTTATTTTGCAGTTGGCAGGACAAAAAAAAAAAACTTTTTATTGTGGCAATCGTGGGGGGGGGGGGGGGGGTGGGGTTGCGAGACCCATGGAGGGAACGCCTAGGGAGCTCTTTGAAACTCGTCTCATCTCTCCTGTTTGCACCTTGTTTGCGATCCATACTTGACACGTCCTTCCAGTGGACCGAGAATTGTGTGTGGAAACAGGGTTGTGTGCAGAAACGTGGTTCTTTTTTTGTTTTTCCTTTCATTTCGTGGACTGCCTTACACTGAATTAGGCTGATTAAAGGCTCTTAATGTAGATTAACAAGGTTGCCTCTTGCGGGATAAAAGTCTTAAGTGGCTGCTGCGCTTTGCCACTGACTGCCAAAATTAAGCAGGCCCCTCTTTGCAGAGAACTTCGGCAAGTTACGTAAATGTGTTTGACAGAAAGTTGTACTGGCGGGGGTTCTTATCGTTTTGTCCCGTCCAGCCTTATAAAAGGAAATTATGTCCATTCCAAACCTATAGAGATTCAGAGGTCTGCTGTATACTTTACATGAAAGGCAACTATTTTTGTGTGTAGCATATCTCGTACACCCCCCACGAATACCATATTTTGCCTGCTTATGAGGTTTCCACTAAACATCTTGACGGGAAAAATAACTCGATTTGATGGTTTCACATCGGCCCGATTGAGCTGTAAAGAACAGAAGCCATTGTAGCCGTTGACGTTCTGCTTTCCCTTGCTTTCTTTACATTACCGTTCCCCCACCACCACCACCACTGGACCATTTTAAGATGTTGTGCATCAGTGGCTTGTTTCTCCTTTGGATCCCGGAAACATTTGCTGACGCGTTCCTGTACTTGGCTTTTCTTTGTATACCTGGATTAAGAACGGCGAAACTCTAATGTCTCTTGAGCTCAAAGAGTTAAATGTTTTTCTCTAGGGCGTTGAAAAGATTATTGGTTTTGTAGAGCGTCTGAAGCAAGCTTGCTGATGACCATTTGAAGGCAGAGGAGGAAAAGGATGGCCCTGCAGTCCGCACAGTGCGGTTAAAACAAAAGATCTGTGCATCAACCAGCCAGGTCCTGTTTGGAGCAACGGAATTAAACTGTTCTGAACAAAGCACTTTGGTTTAATGGTGTTGTGGATTGGCCCATGGGACTTCCCATAATGCTTTTCCTTTTGGGGATGGGTCATCACAGGGGACAAACCGCTCATTTTCAGTTTGGCCTCTTGAAATAGCATTCTCAACTTAATCCGCCCTTGGAGCACCTGGGCATTCTTGTGGCTCTTCTCCCCACCCCACCCATCCCCAGACAAAGAGAACTTGTTTCCCTTGCATAACGCAGCCTTCTCGTTCTGCCTGCAAAGATTTGCAGTGCCTTGTGATAGATAATCTTTAGCATCTTTTTTTTCAGATTTTTGCCGGACAGATTTTAAAAAAATTGCTTCAGTCTTCTGAGGTGTGACGTTTGAACACTGTGTTGCTCTCCATCCCATAATGCAATATGCAGCAATGGAGGTGTACATAACCTGGGGAATAGATTCAGTCTGAAGGACTGAGGAGAGGACGGTGTTACGTCACATCCTTATTTTAACAAAGCACATATCCTGCGGTCTGACTTCCTTTGTTCTTGTTCATCTGTTTGCTTCGTTCATCTCTTTTAAAATAATTAGACACTTGGATTCAAACGCACATTTTCTAGTACTTTGTCTCGTTTGCTTCTCAGCTGAGGATAGCCCGGGCCTGTGTCTCTGTCTCTCTCTTTCCCCCCTTTTGGATGGATCAGAAGTCAACTGACACGGGACTCAGTTTTAGTTCACGTGATGGTTCCACCGGAACGGGAGACAGATCTCCGCCTCTATGCAAAACAGAATGTAACCGAGATAACCCTCGTCTGGCGACCTTTCTAATGTGTAAGTCATACGTAGAAACGATAAAGCTCTGCTTAGGTCTCTCAAGGAGTGGAGCCCATCCCCCTTCTTTTAAGATAACCTTTTTATGATGCCAGAAGAATGCAAAACAACGAGAGGTCCATCCACAGTAAGCAAGGAAACGATTGTTTCCACACTATTTTTTTGCTGTATCACCTTCTGCTGTCTAGGGCAGAGCTGGGCGAGAACGTCGTCCTGAAATTAAGCAGAGCACTGGGAGAAATCCGTGACGTTATTCCAGTCTGAAGAGCTGTCGCAATCCTGGTAAATGGCATCAGTATTTTGGAAAGCATCCTTGTGGTCATTACCAGGACCACAAACCTGGGACATCCCAATCCGAGACAGAATTTGACTGCAGGCCTCGTTTGGAACTGTTGAGGCACATACATTTTCTTAACTATGATGAGGGACAGTCAACATCCGGCTTCTGCAGGAAGCGTGTGCCCGGTCGGGAAGAGGGAACCCTCTTTTGTGCAGAGCTTGCCTCTTTTCCGCGTTCTGAAGCTTGCGCGGTGTTGGCAAGAGGGGGCTCCCTTTCAAGCCGTCCCAAACGCCTGTCGTTCATCTGGTATGAAAGTTAAAACGGTGGTCACGGAGTCACCCGTAAGTGCCATGCTCGCTGCACAGGCGGCTGTGTCCCCTCCAGCATTGCTGTACTACCATCTCGGGGTGTTCAAGAGAGGCGGGAACCAAATGTGACAGAGGACGCGTAGCTTGCTCAGTCAGCAGTCCCGCGTCTCTTCCTCGGAATGCTGACGTGCGGTGTGGCATCGTTGCACTGAGTTCCGCTGCTTCCTTGCGTGGGGAGCCAAAGGAGAATCGTGTCACGGGTTTTGTATTAACATGGCACTGAAGGAAAATAGGGGAATTTTATGGGTCTGCTGGTGTCGGCAGTATTCATATGTCCTTTAGAATATCTAGTTATGGCACTGCTCCGTGGCCGTGGACCGGGGAATCGCTCTGTCCGAGAGTTGAAGATAGGGTGAAAGAGTCATTCTTGCACAATGATCTATTCCGTCCCGATCCGGTTCCTGATTAAATGGGGTTTCTCCCACACATTAGATAACATTTGTGACCCTCTTAGACCATAGAGGGACAGAGAAAACTGATGTGCGCACCTTGGGCAACAGCGGTTCTATTAAACCATCTTCATCTTTCTTGGGAAAAGAACAACTGTTGTCTTCAGTCAGTAGCATGAATTGCTTCTATCTCTGAAGCTGTGGCCTGAGAGATACGGCCTAGAAAGCTGAAAGGAACACCAATATGTAAATTTGAAAACAGAAGGAAACTACTTGCTATGTGTTATATTGGTTCTGAATCTTTGTCGTTAACATGGAACATGTTTTCTGTGTCTCCCTCCTACCTGCTTTAATTTCACTTTTCCTTCCGATAGCAATCCTGACAAAAACAAAATGGAATTAAAATGTGAAGCTGGTTTGGGAATGTTTTCAGAGGCATTTTTTGATTGTGATTCTTGGGGCTTAAGCTTGTACGATATGAGTGGAATGTATCGTTTAATAATTGGGTGCGTTTTTCATTATATTCCAGTTGAGTTGTTTTTTCCCATATTACACTGGGGGGAAAATATTTTCTTATCTACCTCATTTGTTTAGTGCTGTTTTAAACCTAGGCTGTGAAATTGTTCCAGCTTTTTATTTCCTGTGTAATTTTTATTGCCTGTTTTAAACCTGAAGTTGGCATTTTGACACACGCAACATCTCCTCCCCCCCTTCTTCCTTGGCACGAGCAATTCAGATTCTGTTTACTGTTCTAAGAAAGATGTTTACTTTCATAAGGAAGGCTTTAGCAGTTTAATCATCACCTTCAGTTCAGCTTACGCGACACATGAAAAGAACAAGTTCACACACAGCTTCTAGAGTTGGCTGCCGCTCTTTGGGGAAGCTTAAAGGAAGTTATGTGACCCGCAGCCTCAGTGTGGTCTTCCGTGGGAGAAACAAGTTTTGAATGGCTTGTTTTGTTCAGAATGGGATTTTCCCCCCTTCAGATTTGTGCTGAATTATTGCTGACAAACTGCTGGGTGGGGGGGGTGCCCTCGCAACACTGCCAACCTCTCGCCCATGGTTGAGGGACTGTGTTCTCCCTACTTCCAGCCTGTGCCACGTCCCTTTCGGCCCACCTGAGCCAAAGTCGCAACTCATGCCAGCAGCAAACCTCACTACAGTTTAACACTAACCAGTTTGCTGTCAACCGTGGCTGACGACAGATTTCAGATCCCTCTTTAACAGCAAATCCTTATTGTTTGCCACTC